TTATTTATGTCCTTTCAGGAAATAATACGACCTTCTGAGGCGCTGCGTCTTTTTTATAAAATCCCAAAGGAAGATTTACCTTTACTTTTGATGCCAGCCTTCCAAAAATGCAGTACTCATCCACGAGACTTAATACTGCAACGAATCCCCGTGTGTCCAAGTTCAATTCGACCCTCAGTTGTATCCGAAGTTCGCAGTGGAACGTAAGGCGTCTGCTATAGATTTTCAGCAAACAATAAATAGCTATTTAAATATTTTTTATACTTAGTCTTCGATAATTTTAATCTATTATGCACACTTTGCAATTATGCTTTTTATCTGTGCGTTATTATCATGTTTCTATTCTTTTAGTAATGAGGATGATCTAACCCAAATGTACCAATGGATTCTTGCCCAAGCTGCAACACTTGAGGAAGATATAGGAGAATCTGACCAATTTGCCTGCCTCGACAACTTGCATGTTGAAGTGGCTCGTGTAATTAATTCTCAGCATTCAGGTCTTCCTCCCGTTCAAGATCAAAAGTTTATGCGAGGACTTCTTCAGCGGCTTGCAGGAAAACATGGACGATTTCGTGGAAATCTCTTAGGCAAGAGGACCAACTTCACTGCACGTACTGTTATATCGCCTGATCCAAATATGCGAATAGATGAGGTTATTTTAGCATACATTTTTTATTTTAATATCTATATTACTTTATATAATATATTTGTAATTTTATTTGGCTTTCTCCTTTAACTTCTCTACTGGTCATTGTCTATTTATATTTTACAAGTTTCATAATTTTGCTTGAATATTTTTGATATGTGCCATTGTGCTCTTATTGAATTCATCATGATTCGCTTAATACGTGGTAATCTTAAGGCACCACCAATGTCTTGACTCAATTAAGTCATATCCTATCTCCTTTAGAAAATTATTTTCGATCACCTCGATCATTTTACGAGCGTGTCATATCTTAATGTGCAATGGCCAAAATAGGTGGCTATCTGCCTCTTCAAAATGTAACGTGATTTTTTGTTTATTAGAGATTACTTGCATA